ACATTAAGCTGCTAATCTCTAGTTACGACAAATACCGGTGCAGAAATGGGTCATTTTCTGAAACTTAAAGTTTTCTATCTTTTGAGCTGTTCTAACACGAGGAGGTAAATGATTCCATAAAACAGAAGCAGCTGCTGCAAATGTGCCGTCAGCCTTTCTGTCTGTATCTGAAAACATAAAAACAAAAAACAGTTTTAAAAAGAGAATATTAGTTTTTTTTATTTCATTGTTGTAGATAAAGTATGGGGAGGTAAAAAAAAATGTACACTGTTCTGGATGATTCTCAGTATACTGGTTCTTAATGTATTGCAACTTTCAAAGAAGCATAAAATTTTTCCTTTGGTTAAACATTATTTTTAGGACTTTTAAATGAAATTCACTATATAATGCAGGCTGATTATACTGACCACTATAATAAGTAACTTTCCTCTTTCTAAGACTGACTGTCAAAATATATTTTTTAGGTTGAGGCTTTTGGTTCAAAAAGGCCAAAAAAGTAACAGATTGAAAAAAGCTTATGGTAATATCTTAAATTAAACTCAGTAGATCAAACAATAACTTGCGGCTTATTGTTATTTCTGACACAGTTTAACCATTTCAAACTGAGACAAAGAGAAAACTAAACAAACTCAAGGTTTTATTTGAAGTCGTTGTTCACCATAATCCTAGAACTGTAAACTAAAAGAGTCAGTCGTTTGGTGACACAGCTAACTTTTAAAGGTAGTTGTGAAAAAAAAGTAGTTGTGCAGGTGAAACATGTCTGAAAACTTGGGTTAATACCAAAGAAATGCAAACCTGCCATCAATAGCAGAGAGATCTGCTGCCATTTCACACTGAGCTGCTTTGATAGCTGGCTCTATATTGTCAAACTTATTTTAGATATTAGAAATCCATATATGTGTTACATCATAAACTGATTTAAACCCAAATGTTTTAAGTATTTCCTGACTAATTGGCCTAGATCTTAAAAGCAGCTGATAAGATGTACAGTTATTATTCTTAACCTTGTTTATTTTTGCACATCTTTGTTTTAAGATAATCTTCCTCATTTTCATATCTTTTCATTTCTACTTCACTTTTTTTTTAGCAACTTCAAAAGTCAACAGGCAAAACAGCTACAACTTGGTCAGTTTAACAGATATTCAGTTCAAATTTGGGCTAGAATAGCTGAAGGTCCATCACAACACATACTCTTAAGAGCTAACAGATCAAGATGGTGAATTATTGCAATATTGCCCGAAATTATACTTATTTCCAAGGTCTGACCAGTATGGACACTGTCATCCCTCAATACAAGATGGTCTCTGTCTGAAATTCTTGCATAAAAGCTTTCTTTAAGGAATGATGGACCTTTTATATTTTAAATTTTTGTTCCCATTGCTGCTTTAACGTTGACGCCACCCTTGTGTTTGCATTGGGATTATGCTGGAAACAAAAACAAAATAAAAACGTGGGTAATAAAAATGGCAGAAAGTGCTGCAGAATTAAGACCAGAATTCATAATCAAAGAAGTATTTTGGCGATGTACTGGAAACTGGTTTAGCTGGTCGTCGCTAATTAAATGTAAATAAACCAACAGGTATCTGTTTTAAAGTTTTATGGCAACTCCCATCAAAGAATCTATTTTTGAAATCCCACCTTAGGCATATTATGTAATATGTTTTGTTATTAAAAAAAAATCACGCCAGTTTATCAGTACATCATCATACACCCGTGCTATTTTTATTATTAATATAGAACTTTACAAACAATAAAAGCTGCAACAAAGTGCAGAAACAATACAAGAAAAACAAAATTCACTTTTGAAACACAAAAGGTGACTAGTAAGAATAATAACGGTGAATTCAAAACACCCGCTTCGGATGTTATCTGCAAAGATTTAGTTATAATTCTCAACTTTGTTTGACTCCTTAATCTGCACAAACTGTCAGGCCTAAAGATCCCTAAAACTCCTTAAAAAGCATACACAGTACTGCACTTGAATCCTTTAGAGTAAAATCACAAGCTTGGTCTCTATGTTAAGTTAATCTGAATTTTTAACTTCATCAGTCATAATTTTGGTAACTGTATTGACGTTAAAATACATAAAAATCTAATCAGTCCCTTGTCACAAGTTTTTAAAAGAATTTTAAAGTGTCCCAGCACGAAAGGAAGGAGGTATTAAAAATTATATATATCAATAGGTCTAAAATATGGATTCCAAACTATTACCAGTTAAAACTTGGTAACAATAGCATCAAAAATAAATATTTCAGACATAATATTATCCGGTATGTCCATTCATATTTGGACAGGTGCCCAACAACTAAATACTGTAATTCCTAAATGCTTCAATATAGAGACTTCAATGAGGGCGCAAACGAAATGTAAACCCCCATAAAATATGTGACCATCATATCGAAATTTGGTCAAAATGATGTGATCACATTTTCAGATTCCTGGCTTTAAACGGTACAATTTGATACCTGGATCATTCTGATATTATAAATGGAACCAGAGATATGCCTTAATTCGTGTTATAGGTTATGATAATACATTAATATTTGGTCAGAATCCTAATTTTGTCATTTTCATGAAGGATTTTTCATTTCATTATGAAGAGAAAATCTCAAATAGTATTTGAATATTGTCATTTCCCAGCTGGAAAGAAACAAAAACATTGCTAGCTTACAGGGAAAGTCTCAAAATTTTAAGGCGTTTTTCCTCAAAATCAGTTTTTTTGTTGCTACTGCTCAAAAAAGTACTTCAAAATATTTTTTATGATTACATTTCACACAGTTTATTCAATTGAAACATTGATAAGGCATTTACTTGTTATATTTTGACAAAATGAAATTTTTGTAAGTGTTTAATCAAAACACTAGTTGCCTATTTCTCCATATACCACTTTTAGACATAATTCTCATGTCGATGTGATGGCTCACATATATTCTACCATCTATATTACTTACAGCATGATAAAATACAAATATAAATATTTCTATATTAATAATCAGCAATATAAATCACAGTTGGGGGTCATGCAGAGATACCCTACCAAAAATATTCTTGTTACCAGTTCTTTCTCACTTCACTTACTTTTAATTTCTACTGTTTTTTTTCCAGTAACTTGTTTATTGAAGTAATAACATGGCAGGTTAGAAATGCTGCTGACGGATGGCATTAAGAGGCTGCACAAACATTTATATTTAATTGATTTATTTTAGTTTATTTTAGCAACTCTATACTCATCCCAAGCAGCTGACCTGGAAGTTCAGATTCAACCTTTAGTGGAGAAAGTTGAACTAAAAAGGTAGAAAAACCCTTTAATTCTAGGCTTTTCGACAGCCTCTTATTTGTTTGTCTTTTTATAAACATTATCCAAGATGTATGACGTGTTTACTTTTCCGTTTTCCCAACCTGATTTTTTTTATGTTAATCTGTGGGAATTGTTCCAAACAAATCAGTGTAGAAAACTGGCGTTTACACAAAATACTCCTTGACCTTCTATGGTAGTTGTTAGAAGTTATTTGTAACAGTATCACATTGAACAGTGTACACTGTGTTCCTCATCTTGGACTTTTATTTTTTTGTTGTTGTTGTTATCTTGCAGTGTGAGATATAGCGAAAGCCACTATGTCTCACCACGGCCATGTCACTCTGTCCTCACAGCCTTGCCTCCATCTAATTTCCCTCTTTAGCTTTTTTTTCTTAGAATGCCGCGGCGTGGAGTAGGCGTGCTAATAGTCCAGAGCCCCACCATCTTTTTTCTAACTGTCATTTTCTCTTCTTTTCCCGACATGTTTGAAAAAAAAAAAGTAAAAAAATCAAGTGTTGTTCAAAATTGTGTGCATTGTCTGTATTCGTTCACTCAACAGGCCATCACAGCTATCTCTGCGCTGGGCGAAATGACTGCATTGTGGACAAAATTCGGAGGAAAAATTGCCCCGCATGTCGCCTCAGAAAGTGCTATCAAGCAGGAATGATGCTAGGAGGTATTATTTCTTTGGATTTCTTTAAAAGCAAAGCTGCACATCAGTGTTTATCTCCATAGAACTAAATAATACAATTAAATCATTCTTGACATCACAGAAAATATTCCAAGATCTCAAAGGATAAAACAATGAAACAAGATCTGTTTGGAATAAGAAGACTCCTAAATGTCCCTCAATCTATCGTTCTCTTCCTCTGATCTAAGACAGCTATATTTTTGTGTCACAGGCAGGAAGCTGAAGCGCTTCGGAGCCTTGAAAGCCTTCGGGCTGGCCCCATCCCTGATGTTCCAGTCCCACTTGGCCATGTCCAGTGACGGTCAGGCCCTGACCTCCATGGCTTGTGTACCAGGGATCCACGAGATGCAGCTCTCCCAGCAAATAATCAACATTCTGGAAAACATCGAGCCGGAGATCGTGTACTCCGGCTACGACGCCTCCCAGCCCGAAGTCCCGCATCTTCTGCTGAATAGTCTCAACAGGCTGTGTGAGAAACAGCTGCTGTGGATTGTAAAGTGGTCCAAGTCCCTGCCAGGTAACAACTCCCTGCGTCTCAGGCTTGCCACATGTGTTGCTACGGGGAGGCCTCACTGAAGGCCTCGGCCTTAAAGGATTCCCAAACAAACAACTTCCTTTCAAAGTGTGGCAAGAAAATTACAAGAAAAAAAAATGACAGGAAAAGCAATGTGCTACGAAGTGTTACAACTAAGGTTATGTTGGCCAAGAAAATTTTTTAAAAAAAGTTGAAAGAAAGAAGCTGACAAAAAATGTGGGTTTAAAAAATATTCTGACATGAAGTCTTCCTTCCTTTAAGGGTTTCGTAATCTTCACATCAATGATCAGATGACCCTGATCCAGTACTCCTGGATGAACCTGATGGTGTTCTCTCTGGGTTGGCGCTCGTTTCAGAATGTCACCAGTGAATATTTGTACTTCGCACCCGACCTGATTCTTAGTCAGTAAGTAAGAATTATTGTCTGCCACCAGCAGAGGCAGGTGATCATGTAATCAATTGTAATAAATCATTGTTATATATCTACAACTGATTGATGTTTGGAGTCACCCTGATTGAGAAGGGGGGTCTCTGCAGTCACTAAGCAGGAGTTTTTTATTTTGTTGGAGGAGATGGCGGGGAGTAGCTTGGTCAAGTTGGGCAGGAAGCACTTCTATTTTTTAAGATTAATTTTAGTCATAACGTGAGACAGGTAGATGCTAGCTGCACGAAATTTGAACGCTGTACATGTGGAGGGACTTGTAACAATTTGGTCAAAAACATAACAAGCCCGTAAAAAGACTGCTAAAAATCAATATAAATAAATACGAAAATGAATTTTAGTCATAATTTGAGAACGGACGGTGCCTGCCACATGAAATTTGATGTCAATAAATTGTTCACATGTTCACAATTTTTATTTAAGTCATTGTTCCGTTTTAAACTTTACATAGATCATGAATAAATCCTATTA